TATGTGCCTAAAGCGAAGCACGTGTTTATGTGTTTCAGCAGATCAGGGTCATTCTTCCTCCTACAGAGGAAAAATTAATATAGCCAGTGGGAATTATAAGAATTTATTCATGAAAGGACCCAATTCCCCAGAAAGAGATTTGGACCATGTAGTGAGGTAGCTGCCCCACTGTGACAAGGGAGTGGTTAAGAGCAGGCCGGAGGGAGCCTGCATAAACCCCACGGGTCAGGGAGAGGCTCATAAATAGCCAATGATAGGGCAGCTTGCTGGGACAGCTCTGATATAAGAAGCTGCTCAGCAGAGCAGAAAACAGTTGGGTCCTGACTCACAAAGAGGAAGGACTGGTTCCCTGGGAGGATCACCTGAGATTGAATAGTGCAGGGCAGGATCCAGGGAGCTGGAGAGATGTTCCTGCCTGATACCTTACAGAATATAGGCCCTGATACACTAGCCAAGAAGGTGCAGACGGGAAGCGGCCCAGTGAAAGGCTGCAAGACTAGGAGTGGAGAAACCGTTTCCAGTTGCCACTGCCTTAGGGTCCCTGGGCCGGGACCCAGAGTAGTGGCCAGGCCTGGGTCCCCCCTTCCCCATTGCACTGCATTTAGCCACACTGAAGCATGGCCTATACAGTCTGCAGCTTGCCCCTGAGACAAGGGACTGGATTTTGGAGCTGCAGTCATCCAGTGACAGGTTTAATCAATTGAGGACTGCTGATGGCTCTGGAAGAGAAGAGGAATGGAGGGCAGCATCCTGAAGAGGATGCCACAGTCCAGGGAAGGATGTGTGCTGAGCCAGAGGGCAAAAACAGTGGAGAGCAAAGTGACGACGTACGAGACAATGCCAGAAGGCAACATACTCTAACAAACTAAGCTAATTCCCAGTGTGAGAAGCAGGAGGTGCTACAGCAGTCAGTTGTCCCCATTACAGACCATGTAAACATCAGTATGCACAAGCACCTATGTTTTTATGGCTAGTGGCAGTTGTGCCATTCTTAAATAACAATGAGCAGCAAGAACATGCTCTCTCCCAATTATCTGCAAGAGTTCCCTGCCTGCTGGCATTTATTTGTAGTGACTGAAGTGTTTATTTTATACTAATAAAGTTGCTATCGTTTTACCATTTTTATTCTAAATTCTGGTATCAATTGTTTTATGTCCAGGCCGACGAGGAAAAAATAATCAGATTGCTAAATTTACCAAAGATATATTTTATGTCCTTTGGTAATATAGATTGGGTAATTATGGAATATTTGTCAGTTTAAATGGAGGAAAATATTATCTAATGAATAAAGAATAAGCTACATCAGAGCATCATTTAATTGATGGATTGTTAATACAGAATACTACTACAAATTGTAATATTGTTGCAAAAGGTATTTATGTGCACCACATACAATATTTTATGATCTATAGCAGCACATGTACTGATGTTGAATATGATATTTAGGATGGGTTGAGTATGGATTTACATTTATGAGTGTCTTAACACAGAACAGACACTTTCAGTGTAGAAATCTGCAGGGAGTGGGAGATGGGGGAAATGATACTGCCAAATTTAAGTCTATATTGCTATAAAGGCTGTGCTGGAGGCCAACACATTCTTTGTTTAGCTCAGTAATTAACAAAAGTTGGGGTACTAAATTTCTGGGGGAAACATTAGCCAAATATGTACAAAGCAATCTCTGGTGATTTAAAGAAAAATACTAAGTCTATACAGAGGGGGTAGAAATATGTTTTTTAAAAGTATGTATGTACATATTTAGCTATTTGACTCAATTCTCAATCCAACACATTAAAAAAACAGATGCTTTTAAAAAATGATCTGTTGGCAATATGCTTGTTAAAATCTGATCACTAAGAATATTAAAATTCACTGTGCATTAATTAACACATTATATAAAAGTAAAATGTTTTTGTTTCATCATTTTACGAAGTATTATAGTCAATGCTGATCATCAGGGAGTTTTTGCCTTGGTTTGTGTTGCTGAAAAAAAACTAAATTTATAGGATTAATACTAAATTGATGACATTTTCTGTCTTCACTCTTGAATTCAGTTGGCAGATGTTTTCAAGAACAAAAAATTCTGTCTTATTACAAAACATATTAAGTAGGTTTTCTTGCCATTATGTCTGACATGATGTTTATTGCCCAGACCAAATCAATCCCTTTAACAAGCTATAATATATGCCTGCAAGTACATTATTTCATAGTTAAAGACGCTTACAGCATGAAACAACAAGTACTTTGATCTTTCATGCTCTACTCTTGAAGTAGGGCACAGTCATTCAATCTGCATTCATCTGGCAAATAAAATATTTTATACTTTGTGATAATTTTAAATGTTTAGGTCTCTGCTTTTACTTATTCCTGTGTATTTTGGATATTTGCATTATTTGAAATAAAAATTAGAAAATATTTGAAGGAAATGTTCATTTTAAAAAGAAGTGGAGAAAGAAACTAGCTCAAATAACAAATTGTCCCCACTCTCAAACTTAGAAATACTCGTTATGTACATTAAAGCATCAGTCACACGGTTTTAATTTGTTCAACCATCACTTATTCAACTGGCCACTGTAAATCTAAGACCAAGGTTTTCAACCTGTGGTCCACAGATCCCTAGGCTCTATAAACTCTGTATAAGGGGTCTATAAAAGGTTATTGTAACCAAAGAATAATAGATTTCAACCTGTGGTGTGTGGTCAACAGAGGGTCCACAGTTTCTGCCTAAGATTTCAAAAAAGGGCATACTTTCCTTCAAAATTCTTAAGGGGTCCACAAATAGAAAAAGAGGTTGAAAACTACTGATCTAAGTGGCCCAGATTTCATAACTAAAGTTATCTATTCATACTAATTAACAGTTCATCAGTTTTGCCAATGCATATGGCATAAACAAATTTTCCTTCAACAACAGATATGTGTCTTTTTTTAAGCCTGTTTGTACTACAATATTTACCATGGCTAGTGTGAGAAAATACTATTTCTTTCCTAATCTTACATCTCCCTTCTCTGTGACAATTAGCCTTCTTCTGTGACAGTTTACCCAATGGCAAAATAGATATAACAATGCTTACCTGTCTTACAAGGGTGATATAGGGCTTAATTAAGGTTTGTAAAAATGCTTTGATAATATGCGCTGTAGAAATACATCACCACTTTATAGTATTTTAGGGGTTCCGAAATCCCACAGAATAATTGCCAGTCTTTATTGCTAATTAATGATAGTTCAGGTTTTTTCAAAGTAGGCAGACAAGTGAATTGAAATTGTTTATCTAGGCATGCAATAATGCAGAGGTACTTTTATCCCATTTCACAAGACTCGGCATGGGTGTTTATTGATGAACCTGAAAAGAAACCTTTCAGATTTGAATGCAGGGAACATCTGCAAACTTTTAGTTCATCCTTCTCCCAATGAATTCAGAGGGCACAGAACTGGGCCCACAATGTGCACTGCACATGAAGACTTGTTACTGTCCATGCTTTAAAAAAAACAGGTGTGTATGGGGGAAGTGTCAGTACTCAGCTATGAAATAAGTATTCATCAGATGAAGAGAACAGTACACAAACTTGCATTTAACTTGTTTTTTTTATGAAACCACTGTATGTGTTCTATCAGGCAAAAGAGCCACAAAATGAAAGATACCATAGACAGGAAAGAAATGTGACAGGATCACTGTCATTAAAAACTAGTGCTAGTCCTAATACCAGTGGTAGATTGTTGGGGTAAAGCTTGAGAACTGGCCCAAATAGTGTAAGCATCCTTCTTAAGAATAAGGCTGCTTCTCACAAAAACAGGGATCAGCTGGTTGGCAGATTGGTACAGTTCATAAAAAGAAGTGTCCTTCTGGTCATTTTCTACATACATTGGGAAAGGTTCTACATTTCCACACTCAGGAAAAGAGTTTAATTTCTGAGAAGGCATTATGAGTGTGTGTGAATGCTTCTCACATGGCAAGTGTGTGAATTTTTAGCTAGACAGTAAAACTATAAATCACTGTTATACTAAAGCACAATTAATAAGAACACGTTAAAAATTAAAATGATTCTAACACCTATTTTGTTGGATGTTTCTCTATTTCACACCACAATGGCATGCAAATTCTTACTGTTTTAACCAGATTGTGGCATTTCTGACATGTTTTAATGTTGCATAAAAATGCTAACCTTCATAATAAGGCTCAGTCTAGAATGTATAATGCATAGTAAGTATATGAAGAAGAATGTGTCAAAGTGCAAATAATATTGTTTGTGCCCCCTGCAGAATTAAAAATCCTTGGGTAGCACTGTTATAACGATCCCATGCTGCTAGCATTACAAAGTGCAAAGGTTCGCTGAGTAAGAAAAGAGCAAGGGACAGAGTTTCCTCATTACACCATTCTTGAACTATTCTAGCTTAAATATTTATTAAGATATTAATAACTCTCTCCCTTTAGCTGCCTTCAGAAGCTTAGGGGAAATACAATGGATGGCTGCTCATATGAAAACAATACATTATAGGATAAAACTGCTACCACACAAGATGAACACCAATATTTTGCACAATACATTATTAATTCAGCAGGTAATATATTAAAAATTATTAGTCTATAACTACTGCCTCCCAAAGACAACAGCATAATACTGTAAATGTATGCATGATATGTTATGTGGCTTATATGTTACCAAAACTATATTAGGTGTTTCTTATGTATACATCTACTCATAAAACATTTTACAAAGTCATCTTTAAATCAATCTTTGTAACACTTAGTATGTTCCTTTGAAGTTTACTTGAAGTTCCTTTGAAGACACAAAGCAATGTTTGTAGCTCTTCCAAAACTTCCCAATCAATACATCACAAAAATATCAATACAAGAAGGAGTCATTCACTTTAAATGAACTGTTTAAGACATGAGTAGTGTGTCTATACTTTTTGAAACATAACATTTATTAATGTAAATATGTATACTAAAATACTTGAGCGCATAATTTAGTAAGGGCAAATTAAACTAAAACACACTTACTCTAATATACAACTGCATAGTTTCTTTTTCTTTTTGTGGGTTCCGATACTTTTCGTAGAAATCACGTCGCTTCTTTGTTTCCTTTTGGATTTTATCTTTTCTTTCTCTCTTTTCTGCAGGTTCATCTGAGCTATCAGAAGACAGCTGTACTTGGGCTTTTGTCTTTTCCACTTCAATATAGTTCTCATTGGGATTCAGTACTATTACTCCATAGCCTTCCTGTTTCAGAAAATCCAAAATAAAAGAATATTAATAGAAAAATTTAGTCTTGGAAATTACTTTCAATTCATTGTATTGTTCTTGATAAAACATATCAATGATTACATATTGGATAAAGGATATAATTATATAGCAATATTTTAAGGAACTTAAAGGGCTTGATTTCTGTAACTAAGGGGAAATACATGGATGTGTATATATGTAAGTATATACATATTTCTACATTTATATTCACATGACTTTCCTGTTTCCCCTTTTAAATTTTTTTTTCAAACTGTATTGGGGTTAGTTTTGTATTAATAACTACATGTTATTTTAAATGACTTTAGCAGAAAGCTACTAGAACTAAAAACAAAACAACATAATGAGAGCACTACATAATAATGAACAAAGTTTATGTACAACTAATGCAACTTTTACAATAGAATGGATATCCTCCAAAAACATCTCTTGGAACTATTCAGCACAGCTTAAAATAGTAACAACCTTTTGTCTAGCTGACCACCAGCATACGATGCACAAACTGACAGCGACAGTAACCATGAATCAATATCAACACTGATTCAGCGATATTGCTTACAAGCCAACTCTGTTAGGGTAGAACGACTTTTTAAGTATCACTTTAAAATGGCACTAAAACTTCTTTGATATTAAGTTATGCATTGTATACTGCAACCAAGAGAAAATCTACATTCTGTAAAAGATTCTGATTTTAAACAACTGTGCTAAATTTGTGTGCTTGAAGAAATGGAACAACTGAAAAGCAATTTTTATACAATTTATACAATTTTTAAAATGCTGACAAAGTATTATAAAATGTATGTGAATAAAAGCATTTTAAGGGGAGAGGGAGTGATGAGAAGAAAGATGAATAGTTAACAGAATGGGTCCAATTAAAAACATTTTAAAAACAAAACATTTAATTTTTGTATTAATTAGCGATCAAAATAACATAATTTTTGCCTTCTTATTTAAAACTTTAAATTTTACATTCAGACCAAGTGAGAAGATCCACAAGCCTAAATACCTAACTGACCAAAGTAAACCAAATCTACGCCAACAAAAGATACTTTATTTGGTCTTGCTTTAGTCTAATCTGTATAGCTATTCAAAAATCTTGTAAAGCATTGTGATCACTGTCAGGTAGACAGATTGTCAGTTGGTGATTTTCTACAGTTGGACACACTCGACTAGTTATTAAAATCACATTTGAAGGAAGTTCCTACCCCTCTTGCTTGTGCCTGTACAACTTTTCACGCCCTTCTCAAATATCTGCTATAACTTCTCCTCCCACCAAAACTAAGTTAAAGGACACTGCTGCACTCTGCTAAACAGGGTAAAGAGAAAATTGCCTCCTCACTAGATTCTGTACCATGAGTAAGTGGTCTCCTGTCATGTTTCTTCCCTGCCCTCTCTTCTGAGTGAATTGAACTTAAAAAAAAATTTCAGAAAAAAAAAAAATCAACAAAACCCAACCCACCACAAAGCTTTGAAATGAGCCGATCCCATAACTGGTTATTAAAGCAATAAATATATTAAAATATTATTAACATCAGAAAAAATACCATACTACTATATTTTTCAGCTTTTAAAAATGAATTTAAGTTTATAAATCTAAAGCAAACACGTCACAAAACAGAGTAGAGCTTTAGTACATTTATGTAAAAACATTAGTGAATTAGGAGAGTATTATGAAAGTACACTTTTTGTGCTATGCTAAATGGTAGGAGGAAAACGATGTTTTCAAAACAAACTACATGAGGTTCTTTGGCGATTTTAACTTGTAGTGTAAAATGCTTTAGTTTGTTGTCCATCTTCTTGATCTGTTCATTTTCAGTGCAGATAGTCTGTATATTGATTCTTTTTGCTTTCTATACAAAGCCAAATTCATGTATTCATTGTGGTTTTGTAAGAGTTACTGAAATTTGAAACTCTATGCCCACTAAAATCTGTCCACAAAACAGACACATAAATCTTCAAAGAAGTTGAATTTGTCTAAGTTATTGATTATGTAACTGAAAATTACATGAGTCATTTGTCCAATTTTTTGAGGACACAATGTCAATTTTTCACAGAGACATCAACAGATGAAAAATGATTCCATTTTAAAATTCACTACTACATAAATCAATTAAAGGATTTTTATCAATTAGTTTTTAAACAGCATAATGTCTCCCTTTACCTTTTGAATTTTTAAAAACTTTTTCAAACAGACTTTTCCTTTCTGCAACAATACAATAATTAAGTAATGGCTGAGAAAAAATTGTCAAAAGTCTCAAAACTTACTGTTAAAAATTATTCTATTTTAATATTGCTTAATTTATAAGAAGTTACATATTTTCATTCTGTGTTTTCTATTTTTCTTCCACAATCACTTCAACCCAAGTTGTAAGACACAAACAATTGCATCAACAAAATAGTCTGATCTATCATACTACACTTACTCATATGAAACCACATAGTTATACAATGTAGCGTCTATAACTGCACCAGAATTTAACCTCTATCAGGCTGTACTAAATCATACAAACATATTACATCAAGAAACCTCATCTTAAAGGCCCATCTTCACTTTGCTGACCTATGAAAACAATGCATTTCTTAGGTCCCAGCAATGTCTGGAAAAAATCTATAATAAGTAGCACACATTTGCAGAATCACACGTCAAAGATAGTCACCTATTAACATTTAAAACAAAAAAGTACTATTAGAAAACTGCAAGTACAGAAAAGAGATAAATTCTATACTGATTTGTAAATATCTGTAAGGTTAACGATGATGTCAGTGCACAACAGAACAAACAGAAGTTCATGGAGCTTAAAAAACTGAAAATATTCTTTGTCAGTAGAGTTCATCAGAAATAATATGTTTAACAAAGATGGACACATACTATTTAAAATTATATTCTTTAAAAAGCCTGTTCAGAACTGTAACCCAGATTCTCGCTTTAAATCTAGAAGCATATGTAGTGTTATTAAAATATTGGATATGATGAAGTTTTTCATAAATAAATACATGTTCCTAGGAGAATTTCTTTACACCGTGTGCATCTGTAAAAAGTTAGATATGCAATTCATGTAATAAAGTTGAATTAGCATTTTTTTTTACATAGCTACTGTGTACAAATAGATAAACTGTTCTACTGATAAGTTTTATACTATAAAGTTACACTTTATAAGCTGCTATTTTTAAGTGTTCATAATTAGATTATTCTGTTTTGAGACTGGTCCAATTTTTTCTATCTGCTCAATTATTCAATCAATTGTTACAAACCAACCCTATCTACTACTATATCTCTGAGAGAATATATGTGTTGTAGTTAATTAACTCCAAGTTTGTTTGCATAGTACATCTGTGACTAGATGTGATAATCAAGGCAGATATTGATAAAAGTAAGCTTCATCCTATAATTCATCACTCTTAAATTATTAATTCAATGGATGTAATTGTAAATTCTCTATCAGAGTAAAGGCTTAAATTACCAGCATATTAATAGGTATTTCCTCAAATACTATTGCTTGAGAAAGGTAAGTTAAAAATCCATATTCCATATAACTAACTACTCCCTGAGGTTTAAGAATTGTAAAAGAGCACTGCATTCAAGCCCTACTTCCTAGTCTATACATAGAGTTTCAAATATATAATAGCTCGCTTATCATTTATTCAACAGATGATTGCTAATGGGAAAGCAGACAGGTGTTGACAAGCACAAAAATAATAAATACAAAAGCTTTGAAATAAAGTCATACAGATAGAGAATTGCACTAGTCACTAAAATATAGCACTATGAAATGGGATGGTACTTTTATCTTTTATTGGAACTTTACACCAAATGTTTGTAACTGAAGTGATATCAAAGTTAATTTATCCTGTTACTCAGCTCTAGTAAGGTCAAAGGCAATCTAAAATATTTGAGGTAAATTCTGAATCTTTTCAAGTCTCTTGTGGCTGGCTAAATGAATAATGAGCTGAAAGCATTCAGCTCTGCATAATAATCCACCAAAATGGGATGCCATATGTGACCAGAGAGGTCAGGGGCTAGAGTGGAATCCCTTGACCTATGTAACTATCTTTTTGGCCTGTAAGTAAGGATCTATAAGAGATCATTTTCCTAAGCTTTATCAATCTGATTCTTCAAGTTCAGAATTCTATTCAGATTATTTGCAACAAGATTAGAGCTAATTCTCAAGGGAAAAGCTACTCAAAGTGTTTTGGTCTGTAAACTAAATCTGCCCATGGTTAAAGTGGACACTAGCAATGTCCATTCATCTTCTTGAAAGATGTATGTTCTGTTTATTTCCCATCTTTTTCATGAGAAGGGTACATATATGTCACTGTTGCAACATCCTAGGTGCAACAGTGGGATGAGGTCATGACAACCAATCAGAAGTCACTAGTGAAGCGTTAAAGTAAACATAGCTGTTGGAGATGCAGCTCAGCTTGAAAAATGCCCCCTCCATTATTTGAGTAATTTTCTCAAGACGTGACCTGAGACTGGAATGCCTGAAATGTCAGTTGACTCCGTTTTGTGTTTCCACCCAATCTGCATTTTGGCAACTGCACCCTGCTAACACTTTGTAATATTTTCATCCAGCTACACCTCAACTCTTAGCTTCCTGAATTCTAGTGCTATGTCCAAGTGTCTAAAAACGCTGTGTTACTGCCAAACATACATTGTCCCAGCAAGTTCCCAACTTAAAAATACCTCATCAAGTTAGGCAGGAAAAGAAAACATGCCACAAAAAGTTTGTAGAGGACCACCTGTTGTCTATTATTTTTACATAGCACTTACTCATAAATCATAACACAGGGTAATTAATCAAGCTGTCAAAGAAAAGGTCAAAGGTTATGTGGGGGAGTCAGAAGGTCATGCATGGGCTGATAGAGGTCAGGGTCACACTGCATTCCTCATTATCAAGTTGGGATGAGAGACGGCCCAAGCAAACAAAAGTGAAAGCAGATGGAGAAGTGAGTGGATAAAAAAAAGAAAATTTCACAAACAAAAAGAAAAGTGAAAGAAGAATGTCAGCTGCCTTCAAATAAAGAGGAGAATAGAAAGAAATACACTGCGACATTCTCAAAAGGTCCCACATACAACATAAAGAAACTACAGTTTGATCATTTAAATACACTTAATATTACTTTCTCCAATTGGTCTTCTTGCATATACCAAGCAACATTACGTGGTTCTTTTTGTAATATTTGTTTTTTTCTATTTCACATCTTGACATTAGTATTTCAAGATGAATTAGACAAAAAGTACACGATTATCTGATATAGGGTGATTCATGTATAAAATTATTTCTAAATGCTAGTTTTCTTCTTTCAAAATGCTTACATATACAACCAATTGATGTTCCATAAAAAAAGGTATAACTTGATGGAAAGATATGTTAGAACTGTACTTTTTATACACACACATACAAAAACAAAACATCATAAAAGTCCCTTTGGATGACACAACAGTTATAAAATATTCTATCATTACACTGACCTGAATTAGATGCAGAATACTGTGCAAAATTAGCTGTCACCCTTTCCTCAAAATCTTTGTTAATCTCATTTTGAATGTTTGCAGCTTTATCAACACATGCATCAATGTCAGAGATATAATTAAAATGTTTTGGCACAGAAAAGGTGAAATTGTATCTTCTCCTTTTCCCTGAGGAGTCTGTAAAACATGTAGGCTATATTGACAAACACATACCCTTGTCTAGAGCCCTGTCATCCCAGGTCACCCAACTGCTATTTATTTCAAAACATTCACTTTACACTTATCCATAGTCACCTGATGTGTTACTAACTTTTAATGAATATTAGAACTACAAAACAAACCTTAAATTTCTCTGACTACTGTGTTCTAATTTCTTACTGCATTTGGTCCATATCTAGTTGCATCAAGAACTGTATTTGTTTTATTTTATCACACACTATCTTTACACTAGTAAAAATACATTCTTCAATTAACATGTTCTGCTTTGCTATTTGCTAACCTGATGTTAATAAAATAATATTAAATCAGTAATATCACAATGTTCAATATTAAAAGACAGAATAGTTATTAAATTTTGAATCTACTTTTGAAAAGTGTTGCACCTTCCATTTTCAGAGCAGGCATGACTTTGTAGTTACAAGGTAGGTAACTACAAAAGCCAATATTTTGTAGTTTGCATCTATCTATAACTGACCACAATCTCTCTGTTGGTAAGTACTGGTACCCTAACTACTGTATAATGTGCAGTCCAGAATCCAAAATTGGACAAACCAAGAAATGTTCTATAATCTGTGAGCATTTTATTTTTCTGAATACTCACAAACTTCATGGAAATCTACTGTGTGCATTACTCCTAATATGGAGTTTCAGTGCCTTTTCAATCACAGCATCATTTAATCATACTTTAGCATATACAATTAATTTCCAATGGACAGTAAAACACCTGAAAAATCTCCAAATTCCTACAACACATCCTTAACTCAAATGTGAATAAATAAAAAATAATTATTTCCTTGACCAAATACTGTTTTTATAGCACTGTCCTCAGCCAAATCAAAACTCCCTAAAAATGGCATTTGGACTCTGTGGAGTTGAATGACAGAAGTTAGCCCAACAACACCCGAGATAGGTTGTAATACTGCAACATAGACTTTCTACACTCACTTTTCCAGGTTGGATTAATACTTGCTACCCCATTCTGAGCCTCTATATACAAGTCTGGGGTTCTCTTAACTCATGTACTTATTCCCATACATCCCTGTCTATGCCATCTTATTTGGATATGGTGTGTGTTTCCTCTGTGCCAACAGCCCACATTTCACTGGCCTTTTGCCCTCTCCATGCAACTACTTCCCTTTTTCCTTCCATAAAGACTATAGGGCTTCCGTGGAGTGCAAGATCTTCTATAAGACCTCTGGGCAGCTGTCATTTTCATCTTGACAGAAAGCTGACTTGACCAAGAGTTTCAAGAATAGATTACATAGCACTTTACATTTTAAAAGCAATATGTAACAAACAATCACTAAAGAATCCACACAAGAGCCAGATGAGTACTGGGTATCATTCTATCCGTTTTACAGACAGGGAAACTAAACGAGGAAGGTCAACTGACTTTCTGACCATTACATAGAAAGTAATGGCAGAGCTGGGATACAAATGCAAGAGTTTCTGGATCCTTCCTAACTATCTAAGGCAGGGGTTCTCAAACTTTGAGATACTGCAACCCCCTCTAAGTTGGTTGTGACTCCCCGGGGGGTCGTGACCCACAGTTTGAGAAACGCGGACCTAAGCTATTTCTAGGATGCACATCACTATACAATCTGAGTTCTCATCTCCAAGTTCAGTTCGCCAAACATTCTACCTCCTTCACGGCATATCAGAGCATATCTTTCTAACTTCCTACTGCATACATAGTTTTATATAAACTGTATATATACATTTATATAGATATTACAATTTTAATATTCTGATTTTTGAAAAACAGTAATAGAGCACAAGAAGCTATAATTTGATTCATCCTACTAAGATATAACTCATTTCTTCTCCTACTGTAATAGTGGGAAACATTTTCTAAAGGCAGCTTTTTTGTGAACTGTTCAACAAATCTTTTGGTGGGCTTAGAGGTGAGTCTAGGTTTATAACACGTTTTGCTTGAAGAAGGGCATATAAGTTAACAAGTCCTCCTGTTCACCTTTTATCTCCAAGCATTTATATGTATTACATCAGTACAGAATAAGATTAAGCACCAATATCTTAGTAGGTCTATACTCAGGCATTTTGTCTGGTAGCTGAAACGGAATGCATTTCATGCACAATGTTTTCAGTAAAATCTTATAAATACCTAGAACTTGAAATGTAACACACATTTATTGGTGAGCTTTGTTTGTGAGTACAGTCTAAAACTCTTCTATCGTAATGAAAGAATAATCAATTGTTTTTGTAGGTGTATGTATTTGGCCATTTCTAGAAGGGGAAAAAAATCACTTGGACTAAGAGCAAAGTGTCTGGCTCATACCTGTCTCCCACAAACAGGTTCAATTCAATGCATCTATGCTCTTTCCTTCCTACTGTGACCTATGTCAGAAGACCTTCTTATATTTCTTCTGCTAAA